ACAGAATTTCTAGAACAACTGAGATCTACTTCACAACAAACAGGTAGTTCACAACAAGAATCTAGTTCACCAAAGCCAAAAATGACAGGGGAAGAGATACATAAACAAACAGATGTTGAAAGATGGGTGATTGAATCGTCACGTTTTATGTCAGAAGTGACTACTCCATTAGAAGTTAAATTGGAAGAGCCTYCTTCAACTGRAGATGTTCTACAAGAACAATCGCAATCATTTAGTGTAAGCACTGAAACAACACATGATTCGGATCTTTCACAAAAGTCAAAAGTGACAGAGGAAAAGATATCTGAAAAAATGGATACAGAAGAAAAAAATAAAGCTCAAGTGTCACCTACTTTACTAGAAAGGATTACTCAAATAGAAATTAAATTGGAAAAACTTTCTCTGGCTGCAGATGTTTCAAAAAGACAATCACAATCAGTTAGTTCTTCTACTGAGACAAAAAAAGATTCAGATCGTTCACAAAAGCCAAAAATGCCAGAGGAACAGATATCTGAAAAAATGGGTACAGAAGAAAAAAATAAGGCTCAAGTTTCACCTACTTTATCAGAAAGGATTACTCAAATAGAAATAAAATTGAAAAAACTTTCTCTGGCTGCAGATGATTCAAAAAGACAAATACAATCAGTTAGTTCTCCTACTAAGACAAAAAAAGATTCAGATCGTTCACAAAAGCCAAAAATGACAGAGGAAAAGATACCTAAAAAAATGGATACAGAAGAAAAAAAAAAGGCTAAAGCGTCAGCTACTTTTTCAAAAATGATTACTCAATTAGAAATTGAATTGGGAGAATTTTCTCTAACTGCAGATGTTCCACAACAACAATTACAATCAGTTAGTTTTCCTATTGAGACAAAACGAGATTCAGATCGTTCACAACAGCCAAAGACGACAATGGAAAAGAAAACCGAAGAAATAGATACTGAAGCAAAAATTGAGACTGAAGAGTCACATACTTTATCAGAAGTGACTACTCAACTAGAAGTTGAATTAGAAGAACCTTCTTTGGCTGCAGATGCTTCACTACAACAATCACAACCATTTAGTTTCCCTGCTGCAACAACACATGATTCGGATGTTTCACAACAGCCAAAAATTATAAGTAAAACGAAACATGAAGAAATGGATACTGAAGCAGAAATGGAGACTGAAGAGTCACATACTTTATCACATGTGACTATTCAAGTAGAAGCTGAATCGGAAGAATCTTCTTTGTTTGAAGTGGTTCCACAACAACAATC